AGGTATGGGAACATACAGGATACATAGGTATGGGAACATATAAGGATACCTAGGTATGGGAGCATACAGGATACCTAGGTATGGGAATATACAGGATACCTAGGTATGGGAACATATAGGATACATAGGTATGGGAACATATAAGGATACCTAGGTATGGGAGCATACAGGATACCTAGGTATGGGAGTATACAGGATACCTAGGTATGGGAACATATAGGATACCTAGGTATGGGGCGTACAGGATACCTAGGTATGGGAGTACAACCAAGAATAAAGAAATATATAAAACACATGTAAGTAACATCAAGCCACTTTTAGAATTATCCCTTGGCATTCGAGAAAAATTATGTAAATATTTGAAATTATTTAAATCCATCTTAGTATTGCATAAGTCTAGGAACCCCTAGATCTCACGAGAATATAGGATACCTAGGTATGGGAACATATAGGATACCTAGGTATGGGGGCGTATAGGATACCTAGGTATGGGAACATACAGGATACCTAGGTATGGGAACATATAGGATACCTAGGTATGGGAACATATAAGGATACCTAGGTATGGGAACATATATATCCTGTACGCCCCATACCTAGGTATCCTTATATGTTCCCATACCTAGGTATCCTGTATACTCCCATACCTAGGTATCCTATATGTTCCCATACCTAGGTATCCTGTATGTTCCCATACCTAGGTATCCTGTATATTCCCATACCTAGGTATCCTGTACGCCCCATACCTAGGTATCCTATATGTTCCCATACCTAGACCTAGGTATGTGAACATATAAGGATACCTAGGTATGGGGCGTACAGGATACCTAGGTGTAGACGTACAGAAGTAGTGAAGGAAACACTAGGCCCGTACTTCATCCATTGTTCACTGAAATTCACGTTTTGGTCAACAAAACAATAATAATAAATACAGTCAGTGAATGTTCGAAAATTCTTCAGACTAGATCTCACTTTTTAGTCTTATAAAAGTTTCAATAAAAATTATCATATGTAGAATAATTATGGTTTTAACATACATATCAACACTGTACTCAGGACTCTTGCTTGTTGATCTCATGTTTATTACAGGACTTGTTTTAAATATCTTTCTCCGTAAAGATGATAAATATATATATGAAACTTTTTCCAGGCCTACCAGGCAGACATATTCTACCATCAGTTCTGGAAAGATCATCGGCTTAACTCCAGCATTGCTAACAACTACCACGATTACAAACTTATTCTGGACAACAAGTGGCGAAATGACATCTGGACCCCAGACACTTATTTTAAGAACTCGCTTAATGGACAAGTTCACGACATTGTTAACCCTTACATGTACATGGTGCTTTACAACAACAGTGAAGTGTTCTTCGCTGCAAGGTATGTTACGCCATATACATCACGTTACTGTTTCAGTTTTATTGTTACACTCCATACATCACGTTACTGTTTCAGTTTTGTAGTTACACCACATACATCACGTTACTGTTTCAGTTTTGTTGTTACACCACAGACATCACGTTACTGTTTCAGTTTTGTAGTTACACCACATACATCATGTTACTGTTTCAGTTTTGTAGTTACACCACAGACATCACGTTACTGTTTCAGTTTTCTTATTACACCAGATACATCACGTTACTGTTTCAGCTTTCTTATTAAACCACATACATTACATTACTGCTTCAGTTTTGTAGTTACACCACACACATCACGTTACTGTTTCAGCTTTCTTATTACACCACATACATCACGTTACTGTTTGTTTTGTAGTTACACCACACACATCACGTTACTGTTTCAGTTTTCTTATTACACCACACACATCACGTTACTGTTTCAGTTTTCTTATTACACCACATACATCACGTTACTGTTTCAGTTTTCTTATTACACCACATACATCACGTTACTGTTTCAGTTTTCTTATTACACCACATACATCACGTTACTGTTTCAGTTTTGTAGTTACACCACATACATCACGTTACTGTTTCAGTATTGTTGTTACACCACATACATCATGTTACTGTTTCAGCTTTCTTATTACACCACATACATTACGTTACTGCTTCAGTTTTGTAGTTACACCACACACATCACGTTACTGTTTCAGTTTTGTAGTTACACCACATACATCATGTTACTGAATCAGTTTTGTAGTTACACCACATACATCACGTTACTGTTTCAGTTTTGTTATTACACCACACACACATTACGTTACTGTTTCAGTTTTGTAGTTACACCACATACATCACGTTATTATTTCAGTATTGTTGTTACACCACATACATCACGTTACTGTTTCAGTTTTGTTGTTACACAACATACATCACGTTACTGTTTCAGTTTTGTTGTTATTCTCCATACATCACGTACGTTTTCAGTTTCCGTATTATATTTCACAAACCGATATTGTGTTAGGGTTAAAGATTGGTGTAGAAACAGATTAGTAACTGAATTCATGTTAAGTAGTTTTGGTATCGGAAAAAAAAAACTATCACTTCTAATATATCTTAATCTCGTCCAAATCAGTTTCTCTGTAAATTAATTAGTATTGAATAATTTATTTCACTATTAAAGTATAGAAATGTTTGTTTCATTTTTCAATCGATTTTGGCTGAAACAGAGAACGTATTATATACTTTACTTATAATGGCAGGTTCTCGTGACAGCATCGTGTTGGTTACCAGCCAACTTGTTCTAGGAGATTAAAAATAAAATAACTAACAAATATCTACAAATTGTGACAAAAACGTTAAGCGATGAAAAGCTGCCTCAGGTTCCTTCTCACTGGCTTTACTGTTGCCAGGTTCATAATGTCATCTCAGTTCCTTCTCACTAGCTTTACTGTTGCCAGGTTCATAATGTCATCTCAGTTCCTTCTCACTAACTTCTACAGTTGCCATATTCATAATGTCAATTCAGGTTCCTTCTCACTAACTTCTACAGTTGCCATGTTCGTAATGTCATTTCAGGTTCCTTCTCACTAACTTCTACTGTTGCCATGTTCATAATGTCATCTCAAGTTTCTTCTCACTAATTTCTACAGTTGCCATGTTCATAATGTCATCTCAGGTTCCTTTTCACTAACTTCTACTGTTGCCAGGTTCATAATGTCATTTCAGGTTCCTTCTCACTAACTTCTACTGTTGCCAGGTTCATAAT